GAGCCCAAACCTTTTGATTACCTGCTTCCCCACTCCCGCCTCCGCCCCGTCCCCGGGGGTGGCTCTCAAGACCCGGACGTCGCCCGGCCGGCTGGGACCATGGTGTTTCTCTCCGGAAATGTTTCCGACAGCTCCAACTGCACCCACCCGCCGGCACCGGTGAACATTTCCAAGGCCATCCTGCTCGGGGTGATCTTGGGTGGCCTCATCCTTTTCGGGGTGCTGGGGAACATCCTAGTGATCCTCTCCGTGGCCTGTCACCGGCATCTGCACTCGGTCACTCACTACTACATCGTCAACCTGGCGGTGGCTGATCTCCTGCTCACGTCTACAGTGCTACCCTTCTCTGCCATCTTCGAGGTCCTGGGCTACTGGGCCTTCGGCAGGGTCTTCTGCAACATATGGGCGGCCGTGGACGTGCTGTGCTGCACGGCCTCCATCATGGGCCTCTGCATCATCTCCATCGACCGCTACATCGGCGTGAGCTACCCGCTGCGCTACCCCACCATCGTCACCCAGCGGAGGGGTCTCATGGCTCTGCTCTGCGTCTGGGCGCTTTCCCTGGTCATCTCCATCGGGCCCCTGTTCGGCTGGAGGCAGCCGGCCCCCGAGGACGAAACCATCTGTCAGATCAACGAGGAGCCGGGCTACGTGCTCTTCTCGGCGCTGGGCTCCTTCTACGTGCCACTGGCCATCATCCTGGTCATGTACTGCCGGGTCTACGTGGTGGCCAAGAGGGAGAGCCGGGGCCTCAAGTCCGGCCTCAAGACCGACAAGTCGGACTCGGAGCAAGTGACACTTCGCATCCATCGGAAAAACGTCCCTGCAGGAGGCAGCGGGGTGGCCAGCGCCAAGAACAAGACGCATTTCTCGGTGAGGCTCCTCAAATTTTCCCGGGAGAAGAAAGCCGCCAAAACCCTGGGCATCGTGGTCGGCTGCTTCGTCCTCTGCTGGCTGCCCTTTTTCTTAGTGATGCCCATTGGTAAGTCTTGACAACACCTCGTCTTAGTATTTACTGTTCACCCTCTTCCCTCTCCGTTACCCTAGACACATTCAAGGGTGGAAAAGGAAGGATCTGCATTTCAAACTGCAGAGCTATAAGGCAGTTGGGAAAGGCTACCTTGTAGAAATGTGGATTTCCATTCTCTTCCACTCCTTTCTTATTTATATTAGGTCCTAGGGCACTTTCTCAGCTCCTGTAAAGAGGCTTACAACTGATGCAGATTAACCCGGTCTCCTTATTAAGAATGTCAACTTTTCTTAACGTCTTTAAGCATGTGTTTAATTTAAATACATCTGCCTTCTTTCAAGTCTCCACCAAGTACTTAGGCAGGCTGTGGAATGCCACTGTCACTCTGTTAGGGACTGCAAATTCTCTTGGCCTGAAAAGAAGCCCCGTGCTTATTCTGGTAAAATGTGTGATTTTATTACCATAGATTATTCATAAAGACCAATGGCCTCCTTGTGTTGTT